GCTGTCGAAACGATTTTTTTCTGAAAGGTGAAAAAGTGAGATTTTGAAAACCACATCAATTTCTAACTTGTCTCTTTCAATTGATTTTTAATGTAAAAACAAATGCGATTTAAAAATCTCTCGTTTCGAAAAATTTGAAATTCACTTTATGTTAAAAACATATTGTTCAAAGAGTCGCCATCAATCTTTGATTAGGGTGTGATTGGGCACCCAAAAATATTATGTTATTTTAAAAAAATTAATTTTAATTAAAACAACAAATTAAGGTCTGTGTTACCAAAAATGAGTTCGGGAGTCGGTTACGTGTGGGGAAGGATTAGCACCCCCACAACGCCCTAAATTGGTACCTAGTCGATTAATTAACATCTTTGCAATGAACTTTACAAATTCGAATTTAATTTAATTTTTGATCCCATAAAACAAAGATGTAAATTTAAAACATTCAAAAGCACTCAAATAAATTAAATTAAAATTACCGAGTCGTTTTAGAAAGATAAAAAATGCTCGATTATTTACAAATATCGATACCAGATCTTAAAAGCTATAACAACATTTTCTCGATAAATTTAAATAGACGAACATTTCTTTTTCTTCCATTCCCAAATTTTAAAGTGATGGATCAATTTTTAGGCGTCACTAATGGGATACACTTTTATTTTAAAATTATTAAAAGAAGACCTCAAATGCGTTATGACAGCCACTTAAAATAATTTTAAATTAAAATGGTATTACCCTTAATACAATTATGTAATGATAAGTCGAGTTATGCACATGAGGATTCCATACAATGCAACACTATTAATTAATAAAATGAAACAAGCATGTCAAAGCAAATGTAAATAAAGAAAATAATATTAACACGATTAAAAATTAATGAAGTTTCGGATTTAATGAAAAACATATATTCTATTAATGTTCACGATGTTAATTTGTTTTTTTTTTAAATCAAAATTTATATCTATTAACACACATATGTAACAAATTAATTAATTATTACAAACTACTAAATTTACATATAATTTTTTAAGCATATGTGACACCTATTTAATTAAACCCTATTTTGTAATAATAGCTTTACATAGATTATCATGACAAGATAATAACACAAGGAATGAAAATAAACGCGTATAAAGCTCTAAAATTAAAATCATAAATTTAACACAAATCAAGTTATAAAACAAAAATCATCACATTCCATGTACCGAAATTGAAATAAACACAATAACATGTATGGGACTAAAAAGAAACATATGAAAACATAAAGGTCAAATGTCTAAAAACAACAAATATTAAATACACTAATACTCAGGACCAAAATTGGATATGCGTAAAATATAAAGAACAAATTAAAAATATTACAGACTCGATTCTAGGACTAAAATGAAATAGAAGTAAAACTTAAATGGCTCATACGAGGAATAAACGACGAAGGAAATGGGTGCCCTAAACGACGTCGTTTGATGCTTCAGTTTAAAATCCTTAGGCTAAAAAACACAAAATCCCTAATTATCATTTCTACCAGCTCACCTCGCCGCTTTCTCCTATCTCTCTTCCACCCCCTCCTCTTCTGGTTCGATCGAACTCTAAAGCTCTAAACATCAGCCACTGCTAACAACCATCAAAGCCAACCCACTCCAACAAAGGCTCGAACAAACTAGGTAAAATCTCATTCCCTCTCTTCACTTCGAACGACGCCTCTCTTCTCCCCTAACTCTCGACCACGCACGATGCTACACTCTCCTTTGAACACCGCCGCAACCGTGCTCAATAGTTCCGGTAAGGACCCTTCTTCCTAATTTTATTTTACTATTTTCTGTTTTAATCTCTGATTGGTTTTGTAACTCTAGCCCCAGTCCCTATCTCTATCAGTCGAATCCCACCGAGACTATTGTCGCACAACTAAGGTAATTCTCTGATTCCTTTTTCTTCTTATTTTCTAGGTTTCGAAAGAAAATTACAAAACCCATACATGAATGAACATTTCAAAGGTAAAGAAAGGAAATAAATAATGATAATAAAATAAAGGAAAACCTGTTTATGGGTTGCTAGTATAGCTTTCGAAACTCACTGCTTGTGCTAGAATACAGGGAAGGAATGTTGTTTACACCGTTTGATCTCTGAATATGGGAAAGAAAACTTTTACACGCACTTTTCTTTCTATTTGTTCTATTGTATTTAAAAAAACAAATAAAAATCTCTATTCTTCTCGTAATGGTCTATCCCGGCTCAAGTATCTCCTCCCTTTTTTTGATAATATCCCTCTGTCTGTTTAATGTTTCCCGTATCCCCCTTTTTGCTGATGATGAGTGGCTATTTTCCTTCTTCCTATGGATATCCCCACGTCCCTTATTTGTTGCAGGTATCTCCAAACGGTTGCACGGTTATGGGACTCGTCTGGCATCTATTGGATGGAAAGAAACTGCTGAAGATTTTGGTGTTATCTCCACTCTTGAGCCTACACTTGCTGGGTTAGTTGTATCTTGGGCTACGACCAAATAGGTTTGCTCTGATTCGGGCCCCTGTTTGGGTCATGCATATAATCTTTGGCCTGTAAAATTTGAATGATATCACTACCATTTTATTTTTGCTTACATAAATATGTAATATTTATAGCATATTATATGTATTACACACACTCATTCAATTATATATATACGTTATACCATAAAAATACATATGGACATGCACACATAATCAGATATGATAAATAATATTAAACACCCATGATTAATAATAATATAGCATGAACCAAACAAAACTAGAATAAAGCCCGGACAAAATGAGCGTCTACAACATGACATGTATAAAATATGTGTTAATTCTAAGGTAATTATCCTAGAACAACTTTTAAAGAACTCACAACGTCCCAATATGTCGAAGTAGATGAAAATATCTACCCCTTCGTGTGACGTTGTTGTTTTAAAATCCTTCTAATTTTGATAAATAACTCGGGTATTAACAATATGTTTATGCACAAAATAAAGCAACATGGCAAGGAAAAGATGTTAGCAAAAATAATAATCAAAGAGAGGAAATGCATGTTAGTGAAAAACGAAAAGATTAAATTCAACTGGTAAATGAATCATAAAATACAGTGAATAAAATACACAGAGGAAATTAAAACTCTAACCACATAATTTCTAGTTCACATGCATTTCTTCAAAAAATTATCTATCGAATAAATTAAAAGACGAAGGTTAGAGTTCATTTCTCCTTTATGTACACTTATTTGGGTACCTATGGACAGAGTTTCGGTATGATCTTAGATCGGGTGGGTTTCTACAGATTACTATATGCAAAGTTCTGGTTCTAGGAGTAAAAGGTACTCGAATTGTCCTTGTTGGTGCCCCCTTGGGTGAGCCAAACTCTCAATCCTCAACCATTATAGGCTTAAGCGGATCGAGTTCAATTGGAGATGGCACATTTCCCTATGCCTGACACAGAGAATAAATCCTCACAAAGACGTAGGGCATATGAATCCCGAAAGCTACTTGCTAGGTCTGACACAAAGAATAAATTCTCACGAAGACGTCGCTTTCACTCCTACTTAAAGAAGAAATAGCTCGAGTATAGAGCTTATGTTATGTAATGCACATGTTGTGTGGGGGGGAAATTCTCAAACCTTTGACAAACAACCACCACACTAAAATCAAACTAAAACGAATCCAAAATTTCAATATCTGAAAATCAATCAAATACAAACATTAATATACAAGGGAATAAAACAAAATAAAAAATAATAAAATAATAAAATAATTGAAAGAAATCAAAAGAATCGTAAATTAAATAAAATCAAATTCTCAATTTCCAACTACAGAGATAATATATAATTAATTTAGGATTTGATCTACTAAGTCCTCAGCGGTGTTGACAGGTACTTTGGTTCTTGTTCCTGTTTCAACAGTGGCTAATGGAGACTCGGTTGTTGATGTTGGGAAGAACAACAATCTCAACGTTTAGAGATATTAAACTCTTGTTACACGTGGCTAGATGGTTAAATAGTTAGTACATGTGGCTAGATGGTTGATAGTACCTTGATTCTATTGTCATCCTCTCTTTAAGTCTTTATATACTTACATTTTGTATGATTCATATGTTGCTTGTAATACAAAGAGTAATTCCTTTTTACAGCTGTTCTCTAATATGGTATCAATCGCCCCAGATATTAAAGTACGCTGCTGTGCATTTCTTGTTGATTGTCGCATCTTTCCTCCTCCTGCTTGTTGGTGTGATCTTGAGTTCTTGCAAATCCATGGTAAATACTCCCGCAGTTTTCCATCCTCATGATGATGATCACGTTGTTGATTCCAGCTCGCACGTCTTTGCAAACAAAAGAATCAATGTTTGCTTAACTGATTGGAACCATCTGTTGTGGAAGCAGCAAGTGATACTTGCCATTCGAGGGCTTGCGCTTGAAAGCTTTCTTGGTGAATCCATGCCTGTTCCAGCCAAATTGACTCTCAACAAAGCTGGTGAGCAAATCATCAACCCCGCCTATCTTAGGTCACAAGTCACGACCGCAAAGCCTGATAAGGGGCTGACTGGATTCTTCACTTGCTTCTTTGGAGGCCTAAATTTTATCATTTCTCAAATCAATTTATGCTCGGGTACAAGTGTCGTATAGGATCCTATTTCAGTCAAATAACCCGTTCTGTCAATCAGTATAGCACACGCAGGAAGATGGGATTTGCATCATCACCGGCCGTCCATTCCATTTCTTCCAGCCCATCATAAGACATATCCGACACTTAAACCTGAACAATCGTCAAACATGGCATTAAAACAACATTCATTGCAGACACTGCGTCATTGAGTCGATTCAGGGAATCATCAAACAGGGTCAAGCAGTATTTTGATGCAGGCTGGGAGTGAAGATCATTCAGGGACTTGAATGAAGCAGTCCCTTATTATTGCATTAACTGACTTTAATCCGATCTGATCATATAGATGGTTTCTTTTCAGCAGCCAACAACAATAAGGTTTCGGATTCAGACTCGAGATTTCAACAATCAAACAAGTTGAAGGCATAATATACTTAATAATTGTACCATTGTTTGAGTTTTTTGCATTTGGAGAACAAAAGCAAAGCATAAAGAACCACAGATATATATACATCGACTCACGTAATATAAAGGAGTCGCTAAAAACCAAAACAAACAAGAACCACAGGCTCATTCCTCAGGCTATGGTCCCCAAGAAGGATCCCAGACCCAATTTTTGAAGTGTACATAGATCACTCACACGGCTCAAGCTCTTCTAGCTTTATTAGGACGACCTCGACGAGAACCGTTTTCTCCACCCCAGCCACGTTTTCCACCTCTGTTCTTCCCTCCCCTAAGAAGCATCAAGAACAAAGACGCAGGTGATTACCAATGGGGATCGATCATCGAAACAACACAAATAGAGTATCGGCACTGACCTTGACTGAAATCGGTTCTTGCTTCCCTTGTGCTTCTCTTGGTTACAACGGAGTTGATTCCAATACTCTCTCTCAGCATCACCTAGAAACATTTCCTCATCAAATAAATCTGATTATCTTGCCGTACATATTTTACCGTCATCGAAACACTAGTCGAAGATGATAAGCAATTACATAACACAATGAACAATCAAAGTTCTATGTACTGAATAAGGTTTAAATGATATAAAAAGGAAGTTGTTTCTTCCTTACCGGTCACCAGTTCTACACTGGCAATGAAATTTTTTACAACCAGACCACCTTTAGCCGAGACAGCAGCAGTATGAGCTCTTATGGGTGTATCGGGTTCGTTGAACCGAATGTAACCCTTATCCTCTCCAATTCTAAAGTCAACATACTTCAGAGGTACAAAAACATGAACCATTGGTAAGAACTTATAAAGGAAAAACATCAAATGTATGGTAAGAGAGACCAATTTCAATAATACCTTCAAAGTGCCGAATTTCTTGAAAACATCCTTCAAATCCTCACGTAAAACGACATTCATATCGTCTTTATAGATTGATGCAGCAGATTTACGTTCCTTCTCATCAACCTCCTCAATGGGACTTTCCTGATCCATATTTTCTTTACCATTGTCATTTTCTGCAGTCTTCTTTTGATCAGAACCATCCTGCTTCACGGAGTCCCCGGTCGAAATGCTCTTCAATGTAAAAGCAACAAGTAGGCCCTTCGGGTATCTGCAATGATCATTACATCTGCTTCGGTCACAAACATTCGACAATTATGTTAATGCCATAGGAAGATTGTGATAAATCACATACTTTTCTTCAATATTCGAGTTGTTTGAAGGACGAATTCGTTCAGACTCCTCTGCTTCTTTCTCTCTTATAGCATCAAAAATCCTTCCTGAAATGAAACCATTTAGTCAAAAGCAGATGAGTTTGAACTCTAAATCCAAAATTTTGTCCGAACTCTACATCGAAACAACTTCAGCAAACATATGTCGAAGCCAACTCACTTGGTTTTAACTCCAGTTCAGCACCAGCAAAAACCAAGCTTTGTCCCAAAACCTTTTTGACATCTTCCTCAGCCGAGAATTCGACCAAAGCGGTGCCGCAAAAATACTTCTTGTTCGCCACATTACGAGGCAACCTCACACTATTAACCTAAAACGAAGCAAGGAAAAAGTCATTGGCTTTCATTTAACTAATAATACATCCACAAGTTTAACAAAATTGACCCGAATTTTGACATTGTTAATCAATACCTTAGCATACTGACTGAAAAAGGCCTCTAAATCTTCCCTCTTGACTGTAAACTCGAACGGCGACACCGCAATTGTTCTACTGTCCAATTGCTCTATCAATTCCTCAGGCTCTAATAGCTCAGTGCTTCTTCCTACTTTCTTCCCTACAAAAATAAACGCAAAACAAAAAATCTCATCAATGTCTTTGCTTAAATGAAAAATAAATATTTGGGTTTTTCTTTACAAAACTAACCATCTTCAGAAACCTTGAGGGAAGATGAAGTTCTGAGAGTTTCAGCGACAGCATTCAAAGTAGCTTCTGGTACATCTTCTGGATTCTTCACTGCCATTGAATTCAAATGGCTTCTCATCTTTGAAAAAGAACAAATCAATGCCAAACTGACCACTGGTTTTTTATACGAAGTTAAAGCTTAAAAAAAACAAAGCACCATGCAATAAAATAATCAAAAAGTACAGAAACAAAATTTTCTTCGAACTCAAACATGCGGAGGATTAAAAGCGAAAAGATACGGCCATCTTCACTCTCCTTGATCTTTTTCTTGAGGAAATCGTCTTTTAGAATATTGCTATCACTGAAGTAAAACTCTACCTGTAAAAAACTTATTTTATAAAACCATTTCTTAAGCCATTATAGAGTTTAAAACTTTAAGATGAAGGTGATTTGACCTGGCGAAGAACAGCCTTGGCAGTATCTTCGCTTAAAAACGGAGTCACCATTGTTGTACAGTAAGGGCTTGAGTTGATAGAGAAAGAGGAGGAATAAGAGAGGGAGGGTTTAGGGTTTCGGGGGACGATATTATATATATATAATATATATATATATATATATATAACTCGTAGTAACACGATCTGATTTGGAAGTTCACTCTCCCAGGAGACAAGGGCTGGCAACTCATAAATTAAAATGAGTAAAATACACAAACGGTCCCTAAGTTATACGATAATGATTTTCTGATCAAATAATTTTAAAAATTATAAAATAATCATTAAATTTATTAATTTATTAAAAACATTAAAATTTATTAAATTATTAAATTTATCAGGATATTATAAAATGATCCTTTAATTTATTAAATTTTATTATTATCTATAAATAACAGGAATTATTTAAAAATAATAATAAATTTAATAAATATTTTATAACAATAAAGAATTTACAGGTTATTTACGTTACTGTTAAAATTTCAAACAAATTTAAGTTTCATTTTTTTTTTAAATTTACCCATCTCCACCACTAAAATTTTAAGAGAGTTAATAAAGACCAAAGTATAAATTATAAATAAATTATCTCTAGATTTTAAACCCATAATTTCAAGATTATGAAATCTGATGAGAATAATGAAATGTATTTATAATGTACATTATCTGAATCCATAATATATGAAATTTTTTATTTAAAATAACCGTAGGCCATGCAAAAAAAAATTATAAATAAAAATAAATTAAGAGGACTATTCAAGATTTTACTTTTTTCCTTAAAAAATCTTAATATAATGCATTAATTGCATAGTTTTAATATAATGCACTAATTGCATTCTTTTATAACTAAAAAATTATTTGATAGTTAATTAAAAAAATATTTGTTGTTAACAATTGGTATTTTTTTTTATTGTATTCTTTATTATACTTTTATTTTCTTATATTATATGTTTTTAACAAGTATACTTGTATGACTCGTTTTCTTATGTTTTTTTGTATGTTTCCGATTGTTTAGTCGTTGTTTTCAATTGTTAAGAGTTTATTTGACATCGACACAATTGATTAATGTGACACATATATGTTATATTGTTGATCTTTCTTGCTTTGGATCCTCGTATTGGATTCGAATGCCCGTTATGTGTTCATGGATAGCCTTTCACGTCGCTCAAATCTGATTTGCGATTTGTCAGTGGTCTTTCAGTAGCTTGATTCCCATTTTTTGTCGATGCGATCATATCTATTTGTATATATCTTCGTTCAAGATTCTTAGTTAAATTTTAATCTTTCCTTGTACGATACTTATGTGATATTAAGTTGCTAGTTTTGTTTAAATGATTACAGAAAAATTGTTCTAATTATATGATTAATTTACGATTATGATTATAAATCTTCATTGTAATTTAAGATATTTCCTATTTTAAATAAAATTAGTGGCTTCTATAAAAAGAATCAATAAAAAAATAATACACAAAAATGTCTATTTGAATATCATTTACCATATTTAAAAATCCCAAGTCATAATGTCAAAATTAGCCCCTGAATATTCATCAAAATGGCCATTTTGTCATCTATTCTATTCTTTAGAATATTTCGGCCCCTAACGTTTCGTTTTAGGGGGGAAATTTGACCCTTAATATTTGACAGAATAATCACTTTATCCCTTATTATTTTTTCTACGACATTTTAGCCCTCAATGTTTCATTTTATGTTAAAAATGCTCCTATTTTGGAGCGTTAATCGTTTGTTAACTAATTATTTTCATCTATAAAATGAGCTTTTTGCCTCAAATTGAAAAGCTATGGGCTAAAATACTCCAAAAAAGAATAGAGACCAAAATGATAATCTTAATAAATGTTGGGAGTTATTTTTAGCATTATACCTGATAACTAAACTCTAACATCTAAACCATATATAAAATGCATGATAACATTAAAATTCTTCTTATAGAATATTTTTCACCACATATATTTAAGATAATAATCTTTAATTAAATATAAATCCTTGAAATTAAATTAGTTGATAGTTCTCGAGTTAAGGGACTTGTTATTCTCCTTAAATATTTTAAGTTTAAACAGTGGTAGGAATATAAGGATTTATTATCAATTGATTTAAAAATCTTTAATCAGATATTACTTGCATTCAACCTAAATTTATAAAATAAAAATCTTTCTGACTAAAAACTTTATAAATGGTTAAGCGCCTTTAATATTTTAATGGCGGGAATTTGTGAAAAATCTATCTTCTCCAGGCTCATAGTGTTCCCAAGTCATTATGAGAAGATGAAAAACACAGCGAGAAGCAAGATGAGACTTCAATAAAATATTGATTTAGCTCACCTCCTTGTTATTTTATTTTATTTTAATTTATTGGCTGACAAACACCAACTTGTTTCCATCTTTAGACCTTCTAAAGGGCAGAGGTTGTTAACTTAGTTATATAAATCGCTCTATCTAGCATCTACAGGCATTTTCTACTTATCATATGGGTAGCTTTGTGCTAGAGTTTAGGGATCATAACTTCCAATATCTCTAAAGCCAGATTCATCTCCATCTTGTAATAATAAGATAAAATCTTTGAGGTATTCAATGGCTTGCAAAACTGGAATCCTCACTTCTTCAATTGAATCAGCTTCGCCATATAACTCCAAAGCCCAAGCAAATCGCACCAAGTTTTCCACATTGATTGAGTGATCCTCTGGATATAATGCACACAATAAGAAACATGTCTTGGTTGTCTTTTTCTTTAAATACTGGTAACTCATCTCAATGCACAGGTAGACACTTGTTTCTTCTTCTTCTTCAATGCTACCAGCTTCTATTAATCTACTATTTTCAAGTTTCTTGCGGGCTAATTCCCATTCTTCACGAGTCTTAGTACCTTTTAAAGCACTTGCTAGAGTTACGATCGCAACAGTTAGACCCTTGCATTCTTCTACAACTTTCTTCACCTCCTCCACAATATCCCTTGAAACTCTTTCATCGACCTGTAGATGCAGCAGTTAATGCTGTTAATCAGTTTTGAGTCTTGTTAGAGCAGTTACAATTAGTTAAGTTCTTGTAATCTTGATTGCTATATAAGGAGTGTATGCGATTAATGAAAGCAGTGAAGAAAGTATTATCATTTTCTAAAATTGTTCTTGTCAAATACGAGAGTGTTGAGCTCTCTCAACATGGTATCATTCGCTACTACGTCCTAGGGTATGCTTTCGCTATTCATATTGCTATGTATCATAGCATCTCATCGACAGCCACATCAATGGAGTTCTCGTCAAGAAACACTAAAGTGTTCACCAACAAAAGGGTGAACATTGTCCTGGATGAAACCAACTTCCTGCTATGGAAGTAACAAATCCTACTCACAGTAAGGAGCCATCGCCTTGAAAGAATGCTTAATGGTACAATGCTGCCACCTCTACAAATAGTGGTTGGTAAAGATGGAGTTGCAGCTGTCAATGAAGAACATGAAGAGTTCTTGGCTCAAGACAGTGCGTTGGCATGGTTGCTCTTAACAATTAGCCCTTATTTACTTCCACAATTCGTTGGTATTGAGACAGCTGCCCAGGTGTGGAACAAAGTCATGCAATTCTTTGCAAATCGCTCTGCCACTGCCGTCATGAGCTTGCATTACAAGCTCCAATCCCTCAAGAAAGGAACAGACAGCATGAGAACTTATCTCACAAGGGTGAAAGAGATTACTGATGCCTTGAGCTCATGTGGAAGTCTTGTATCCATATCTAAGCACGTTGCAAGTATTATCAAAGGCCTCACAAGGGAATATCAACCCTTCATTGTAGTTATAGTTGTCATGCGTGACACGTTGTCTCTTGATAACATATGCACGATGCTTGTTGATGCTGAAACTCAGCTTTAAGGGTTCGACTGCCAACCCGATTCTATACCTGTTAGTGCTAATCTTACACAAGGCAAGGGTAAGGTTGACTCTTATAAGAACCGATAAAAGCAGCAGTCTTGCTCTAATCACTCGTCTTACATGAGTGGGAGATCTCGTGGCAGAGATAGAACACGGCCTAGAGTTCAGTGCCAGCTATGCGGCAAGATTGGTCATCTTGTCAGCCAATGTTGGCACAGATTTGATGAGGATTTTTATGGCATATCAATTGATGATCATATATCTATCCTTGAATCCTCAAAAGTATACTATATTGTAAATGGAAATAATGAAAGTGCTTGTGCTTGTTGTAACCATAGCAGCACGCGTCATGATGATAACAAGAGTGTTGTGAAAGGTCAAGCACATGCGGCGTCTGCTGGCCAAGACCAGTGGGTAATTGACTCCGGTGCAACACACCATGTCACCTCTAATGCAACCTCAATCACTCCTCACTCGGCTTTTAACAACCCTGGTAAGCTGATGGTAGGAAATGGTGACTATCTACCAGTCCATTTAGTTGGTAAAGCTGAACTACATGTTTCTTCTAGAACCTTGGCCTTAAGTAATATTCTACATGCTCCTTCAATAACAAAGATCTTGTTTTCTGTTTCAAAGCTTGCTAGGGATAACAGTGTATTACTAGAATTTCATGCCAAAACTTGTTATGTTCAAGATGAAGCCTCTAAAATAATTTTACTGCAAGGAGAAGAGTACAATGGACTGTACACCTTCAAAGCAAGTGGAACTCAATGCAAAGATGGTTTGGTTGAAGCATAGACTGCTATAGTTTCCCCCACAACCTCAGAAATTTGGCACAGAAGACTAGGACATCCAGCCTTTGATACATTTGCTAAAATTTGTAAACAAATCAATGTAAAAACACTTGATGATGTTAATAAGAATTGCATTGCTTGTCATCTTGGTAAAAGCCACAAGTTGACATTACCTCGCTCGGACAGTGTTTACAACAAACAATTCAAGCTCGTATATTTTGATCTTTGGGGACCTCCACACGTATCATCTAATGGCTTCAGGTTTTATGTCTCATTTGTTGATGCTGCCACACGTTTCACGTGGTTGTATCTGCTAAGAACAAAAGTTGAAGCCTTAACTGCTTTTTGCCTATTTCAGAAGCTGGTTGCTATGTAATTCGGTGGAACAATCAAAGCTTTCCAAACTGATTGGGGAGGCAAGCTTCATCCTCTAACAGATGAGTTAAACAAAGTTGGAGTCATTCATCGTCTCACTTGTCCCCATACGTCCGAGCAGAATGGAGTAGTGGAACGAAAGCATAGACACCTAGTTAAGATGGCTTTAGTATTACTTGCACAAGCCTCCATGACTATTAAATTCTGGTCTTATTCTATTCAAACCACAGTGCACCTTGTTAACAGACTGCCATCAAAGGTGCTTCTAGACAAATCTCCATTTGAGATGCTTCATGGGAAAACACCAGACTATAGCAGACTATGGGTGTTTGGATATAGGTGTTTTCCACATCTAAGAACGTTTCTTCAGCACAAGCTCAAGTTTAGATCCCAATTGTGTACATTCTTAGTATACAGCTTGCAGCACAAAGGATTTCAATGCTTAGCAAGCAATGGGCGTGTTTACACTTCCAAACATGTGATATTTAATGAAAACATATTTCCTTTTGCAGGAAACTCTGCTGGAACTCCTGTAGCAGCTTCAATTGGGCAGACATCTCAGTCACTTAAACTGGTCACTGATGTTGCCAACTTGAAGCCTTCACGACATGATAGTAACATGCTGTCACCACGTACTAGCAGCAACAAACCGACGAGTAATCTACAAAGTACAACTGGCAGTCATGATGTGGTGCGAACTGAGTTTGCTCCTGAAGTTCCTACTGTTGATACTCTTGAAGATCATCAGCATAAAGTACACTCAAAACAAAATGCCCATAGCTCGTCTATAAATAGTGGCACTGACATTGAGGAACAAGATGCACATAGCTCGCCCATTAATGATGGCACTGACATTGAGAAACAAGATGTGCATAGCCCGACCATAAATGAAGACGCTGAAAATGAGGTCGTTCGGGTCAATAATCATTCGATGGGGACTCGGAGAAAGCGTGGGATATTTAAACCCAAAATATACCTAGGAGCTGCAGATGATGTTCCATGTAGTGTACACAAAGCACTTCAGTCACCAGATTTGAAGGCAACAGTTTTTGAAGAGTATAATGCTTTACAACACAATGGTACTTGGGAGTTAGCAAAACTTCCAGAAGGTAGGAAGGTAATAGGCTACAAATGGCTATTCAGGGTTAAGAGAAACCCTGATAGCACCATTCACCATTACAAAGCATAGTTGGTGGCTAAATGTTTCTCCTAGATTCCAGGCCATGATTTCAGGGGTACTTTTAGCCCCGTAGTCAGGTTCAACACGTTGAATGTCATCCTGTCGTTGGCTGTAATGAATAACTGGACCTTAAGGCAGGTTGACGTGAATAATGTCTTCTTGAATGGTGACCTTCAGGAGGTGATCTTCATGCAGCAGCCACCAGGCTTCGAACAAAATGCCCCCTGATGGAAGTAAACAGGTGTGCTGTCTAAAAAAGGCGATGTATGGGTTGAGACAAGCACCAAGAAGTTGGCGTACCAAGCTACAAGATGGCTTGTTGAGCATAGGGTTCAGAGAATCAAGAGCTGATGTATCTCTGTTCATTAAGAAGGAGGGCATGCACTATGTATACCTACTCGTTTATGTTGATGATATCATCATCACTGGTCACTCGAGTGCTAGAGTCGATGAAGTGGTTCGACTACTGAGTGATAAGTTCTCACTAAAGGACTTGGGGTAGCTTTCATACTTTCTGGGAATTGAGGTTAAAAGAACCAATGACTACCTAGTACTGTCACAAAAGAAGTTCATCATGGAACTCCTTGAGAAAGCTAATATGTTGAAAGCCTCTACAGCACCAACACCAATGGTAGCTGCTACCAAGCTACGCTGTGATGATGGGGACCTCATCACCGATGCACATTTTTATCGCAACATTGTTGGAGGACTGCTCTACATGTGCCATACAAGGCCCGACATTGCCTTCTGTGTGAATAAAGTCGCTCAGTTCATGCATGCCCCACGACAATCGCATATGGCTGCAGTTAAACGAATCCTGCGATACTTGGTTGGCACGATGAATTTTGGGTTGGTGTTCACTGCTGCAGGATCGGGTGTGAAGGTGGCTGCCTTTGCAGATGCAGATTGGGGTGGCAACCTTGATGATAGGAGGTATGTTTCTGGACATAGCGTGTTTGTTGGCAATAACCTGGTAGCCTGGAGTTAAAAAAAAGTTTGTGTCGTGATCAACCATGGAGGCTGAGTATAAGAGCGTAGTGGACACTGCTGCAGACGTGGTGTGGATTGGAGCCTTGCTGACTGAGCTTGGTATCTGTCAGAAAGAGGAACCCATCATATGGTGCTACAACACCAGTGCTGTAGCTCTTAGCGCGAATCCTGTGTATCATGCTCACACCAAACACGTTGACCTTGACATACAGTTTGTATGTGAGAAGGTTGCAGCTAAGCTGATGAGGGTCAATTATGTTTCTGCTGCTCATCAGATAGTTGATGGGTTAACTAAGCCTTTAGCTCGAAATGCTTTTGAAGAGTTTCGTGCCAAGCTGTGTGTGAAACTGTGCTGAGAAGAATGAGATGAGAGAAAACAGGGAGAATGTTGAAGTATGATGAAGGAGCACGTTGCATGTTGAGGAAGCATACTGATGTGTTCGTACGTGATTGATCAATGGCCAGCATACACGAGCTGTTAGAGCCACGAGTGCAACAGGTTGCAGCCTCTGTAGATGCATCAATTAATGTTGTTAATCAGTTTTGAGTCTTGTTAGAGCAGTTACAATTAGTTGAGTTCTTGTAATCTTGATAAGATCTTGTAATCTTGATTGTTATATAAGGAGTGTTTGTGATTAATGAAAGCAGTGAAGAAAGTATTATCATTTTCTAAAAATGTTCTTGTCAAATACGAGAGTGTTGAGCTCTCTCAACACCATCTAAAACATCTATTAGAATAATAACTTGAATTTTATAGATTCGCATACTGTCCTGCGACGTGTGGTCAAAATGAGTGTACAACCTTTCCCGTTTTCAACCAATGGAATGCCTATCTTTTTCAAGTTGGCATCGTCATTCCACTCATTCCACAAATCATCAAGGATAATGAGGAATTTTCCGTCTTTTAATCTATTCCATAACTCTGCTGCTTTCTCTTCTTCGGTCTTCTTCTCAAAACTTAAGTCTATGTCATCAGCAATTTTGTTTTGAAATTTTTCATTGTCTGGAGTTTTAGACACCGTGAACATTATAACTGGATTCAATCCATTGACTTCACCGCCCACTTTTTTGACTATGGCGGTTTTACCCACACCTCTCATTCCCCACACTCCGATCATTTTGATCTTATCATCCTTCAATGCTTCCATGATCTTACTGAAAGCAGCAGTTGAAGTTTTGGAAGTCATAATACCCTCAGACGGCAAGAGCTCCAAGCTGGGAAGCTCTGTACGACGGCCTATTCGTTCGAAATGGGAACCTTCCACAAGCTTTCTGTTATCCTTTGTCTTCTTCTCAATCTCCTTAATCAATATCGCCAACTCCAATTTGGACACCAACGAAAACATCTCTTATTTTCTTCAATTTTACTGCCCAAACGTTGTGCATCCTTCAGAGCATTTCCTGCATCAGTCAACCATTCATTTACATAGTCCTCAATTACTTGAGTTTGAATCTGTAGTTTAGCCTCCTTAAAGTCTTCACCTATGTTGCACTGATACGGATACGAGGACGGGGACGGCAATTTCTAAAATTATAAGGTATGGGGACGATAAGGGTACGTCATATAAAATAATTTTAAAATTATAAATAGATGTAAAAAGATTATAATTAAAGTCAAATATCAATACTCAAACCATAATATTAAATTTAGAACAATAAAATCCATAAACAAATCACAATATTAAAATGTCAAATCGATTCAAACCATAATATTAACTCTAGAATAATAAAATCCATAATCAAATATTCATAAATTTAAGGTGGTCTATAACTCTAGAAAGAAAATGGTGTAAAACATTCATATTCATACAAAATTCTTTTTGGGTCAAGTTCCAGTGGTCCATAAATTTCAGGTTGAGGAAAACATTTTTCTCTTTCAATTTTATATTCAACCAAGTATCAACCATCCGATTAAACAAACCATTAAGTTAAAAATATTGACATAACCGTCAAATCAATTTAACAGTATCTTCATCGATCAACCTACACCAATAACTTTTATATATACCAAAAAAAATATCACAATCTGTGCTAATATATTATTATTTTATTTTAATATATAAAATATTATTAATTAAAATAAATTCTAGATGCATATATAAAAATATTATCTCCTATTTGTCCATATATGTAAATTACATATATCTCCACTACACTACATACATAAATAACGTTCATCTCTCAAGGAAAGAGCTCTCACCCAAGCCAAGAACAATTCCGACCATGGCAGAAGAATTTCATGCAGGGATTTGTGGAGAAACATGATGGAATCCAACGAAAACCATGTTTACAGGTTGTAATTCTCCGTTGTATACGACGGGGATTGCTGATATCGGAAGCTTCGGATGGGGCATCGATCTGGCGGAAATCAAGGCGAAGTCTAACATTTCAGATTTTCATCATAAGCCAGATCAGCTGCAGGTGGGTTCCGATCATAATGGCGGCAGCAGTGTTTTGATTTATTCCACCTTACAAATGATGGGTTTCGGCTTTTCATCGTCCACATTGATCATCTGCTTTTGTTTCTGCCCTTTCTCTTTTGTTTATGTCCAGAGATAATTTACCCAAAAATTGCACCGAACGTCGGAGTCCAAAAATCAACCGGGGACGGCAGAGGAAGGGGTTTCAAGTACCCGAAACGTTACCAACGAGCACCGAAACATCCTCGTATCGTTCGGTCATACCCTGTCACCATGGCACGTCCCCGATACGTACCCCGACCGTCTCCGTACCAGGGACGTTTCGAGTACTTGAAACGCCCTTCCTCTGCCGTCCCCCTGCAACATAGGTCTTCACTAACTCGAGTTTGTTCTCGACTTAAATTGTTTTTTTTTCGTTGACAGAAGTCTCGAAAAAGCTTAGTAAAGGGAAATAAGTAGCAAATACGACATTCTATTGGCTTCACCCGATAATCTACCATCATTATTCCCACGACCTTAGAAGCAGCAGTCAGAAAGAACTCTCCGGCCATTGTCATTAATCTGAATTTACATGACAATTATGCTAAGCTTAAGCAAAATGATAGACAATATACACTTATTCAATAACTACTGCTTACTCTAATCCCTTTTATTTATTTATAAAACTAATTATTTGATTATAAAGAAAACGTACGTAACAAGAAATCTACTTCAGCTATAGATCTTTCTCCTAATCAATATTTAATAGAAGAAATGTGATCTTGTAAAGAAAGGATGTGCAGCAGGTCAAGAACCTCTACATTCATCACATCACATATCTCATATTTTTTCATAGTTTTATTTATTTTTTTAAAACAAATTGCACCGTAAACATTTTTAATCATAAATTTGGGTCACAAACAAATGACACTGACCTCATGCGACCCAAATAATTTGAGAGTATCTTTAAAAAAAAGTTGAGAATACCTTGTGGTCGAGGTGTTTTAGGATAATTTGGATTGGATATTCGAATTTTTTTATGATAACCGGATCAGATACGGATCGGATAAAATCCACTTTCAAATTATCTTAAAATCTAAAAAAAAAATCGGGTCTTTAAATTTAGATACAATTAGCCCAATTTATGAGTAACCCACTAACCCATTAAAGCTCTAACTCAAAAAAATAGAGTATTTAATTAGTTATTGTGTGTAGTAATTAAATATATATATATATATATATATATATAATTGTAACCCCCTCAGACCGATGCGTGTAACCTAATCCGATCTGGGTTATCACATTAGGGCCATCGGAGCGACCCTCTATAAAAATCTCGAAAAATTTAAAACTTTTATTAAAACCTGTAATTCATAAAATGATTTATCGGTGTTCAAAAATAAAACATGTTTTCAGACTCGTATATAAAACAAATACAATTACATGCCCCTTAATCACATGTATCATACTCTGCAAGCAATGCCAGAAGAACTCCCTATTGATGTCGATAGCTGCACTGGTATAATTTCATTAACCTGCAATGGTGAGTAATAAAGTGAGCTTCGAAAAGCTCAGTAATACATAACTACTAGATGATGCTACATGACATGCAAATAAATGGAAAGCCATATAATTTCCTTATTGAATCAGAGGTATACCGATTTTCGGGATAATATGGGGTTCCACTAATAGTTCATCAAGTAGAAACCATGAAGATCTTAGGTCATAGGAAGCATTCATAGTATGACATTTTCAGGAGGTTGAATATGATGTCTTGTGTGTTCCAATCAAAACCAGTGAAAAGATATAAATCTTTTAAAACCATAGTTGAACCCATTGTATAAAGAGTTTGTTGGGTTATGGGGCTCAGCGATCACCCTAGGGATTCTATCGTGTATGGGCACGATATCGGTGCGTGACTGCCTAACCTACCGAGGCTCACGTGTGCCTTGCGAAGCCCCTAGGCCCGTCTGCAGCACGCTATAGATGCGGTGCTCTGCAATGCCGTGGTAAACTGTGGGGGGTGCCCCACAAGAATCCACCTTGGCTTGGGGGAACCCGGTGATTACCCACTACAAAGATATGAGGTTAAAATGACCCACCTACTTATCACCAATTGGTTTTAAGAAGGAATGGTGACCATTCGCTTCATAACTTTGTGGTTAAGCGTGCTTGGACTAGGGAAATCCAAGGATGGGTGACACACTGGGAAGTTGTTCAGAAATGAATGATTCGATCCTAACAACTGGTATCAGAGCTTAACATTTTCATATATTTTCAAACAATTGGTAATAATTGATATCATTTTTTTAATAATTGGTATCTTTTTCATTAAACATTTTTTATTAAGGGGGAGTTTTGCCAAAAATAACTTTTCAAATATTTTGTTATATCAAAAAGGGGAGATTTTTGAAATATGTTTCGATATAACAAATTTAAAGGAAAAATATTTTTGGACTTGAATTGAATTTATTCAAAGTTTTAAAAAGGTTTCAAAAATAATTCAAAGTCCATTAAATTCAGATTTGAGAAAAAATGCTAAAGGGTGTCAAAGTGCATCAATACACCCCTGCAGTGCATCCATGCACCCCTACAGTGCATCCATGCACCTGCCACTAGTGCATCGATGCACCATTTAATGCATCCATGCACTCCATTTCGAATGCAATTAGTGCATCGATGCATCCTGTTGTGCATCCATGCACCAAGGCTGCAACGACTAGTTTATTTGAATTTAATGAAGGGGTATCGATGCACCTTGATAGTGCACCGATGCACCATGTTATGGGCAAAATTTTTGAGTATAAAAATCATCCCCAAACGGCTCCAAAACATCCCCAACGGTTATATTCGACATCAAACACATTCCAAGCTATAAATACAAGCTAAGGACACTTGAAGAAGTAAGAGAACAACTATCCAAGCAATCAAACACAAGAGAAGAGTTTTTCAATCTTATTTCATCTTTCTCTTGTAAATATTTTGTTCTTGTGAGCTCAATCTTGTAAACATCTACCTTAGAGAAGTTTTCTTGTTTACTTATTTTATCCTTTTGTAAAGGGGAAAGGTTCTAGCTTATCCCGTGTAAAATCTATGGAAAAGTTCTAGTTTAGCCTGGAAAAACTAGGGAGTTGTAAGGTTATCTCTTTGTCCTCAAAAGAAAGAACAAATTAGTGAATTGGTTGGAAAATACTTGGTGAGGAGCTAAGGTAGTGGACGTAGACTTTGATTTAGAAAGTCGAACCACTCTAAATCGTTATGCAATTTTTTATCTTTCAATCTTCTTACTCCCTAAACTCAAAAATCATTTCGACCCCTCTTTGCAAACCGTTCCGATTGTCGAATCGAGCTTCCAAAAATCCCAACAATTGGCATCATAGCCTAACTCGTTAAGAAGGTTTAACCACCTTGAGACGATCCTCGAAGAAGCTCTACCAATTTTCGACGCAACCGACAAAGAAATGACTTTTTCCTCTGGTGCTTATTATCTTGAAGAAAATCCTATTATGGATTCATAACCGGTCAACAAGCCACCCTTCTTCAATGGAGAAAATTATGCACATTGGAAGAATAAGATGATGTACTTTATTCAATCCTATAATCTAGGAGCTTGGAACTCAATCATGGACGGTTACTCTTCTCCACCCGGCAAGTACAACAATTGGAGTAGAGAAGAGAAGAAAAATTTCCAGCTTAACTCTAAGGCTATACATATTCTATTATGTGCTTTAGGCCCAAATGAATATGGAAGAATCTCATCTTGTTCCAGTGCCAAAGAGATTTGGGATAAGCTCCAAGTCACTCATGAAGGAACCGACGAAGTGAGAGAATCAAAGAAAAGTCTTCTCAACCATAGCTACGAGAACTTCAAGATGAAACCCGATGAAGACATCAAAGCTATGACGGATAGATTTTATGTGATTGTCAATAGTCTCAAGGGATATGGA